CAAATTTTCTGCAACTACTTTCCGACGCTAAAAATTTAATCTATTTTTATAATTTTGCTGCCGCTTGTTCCATTCAAACGGACGCTAACGACGCCGACGCCAAAGACGAACTGCGCGAACCGCGGCTGTGTCCGCCCGTCTATTGGGGGCCCCGTCAGTTTCTGTGGCCATTATAATGTTGTTTTGGCACTGGAACCACTAGAATTGCCGCTGATTGGGATGCTGCACGCCAGCGATGCGACGCCTGATTGAATTGAGTCATCCAACAGCTTTCGCTTTGTTTCCATAGTTCCATTGTTTAATCAGCTTATCTAATCTGGCGCATTTGGGTCGTTATACACTAAACGGTAAAGCTGTTTTCTTACATCGGATGACAACATATGTATGTATGTCTATAGCCCTGCGTATGTATGTTTTATACATTTAAAATATTCATTTACAGTTTTATTTCAATAGTTGCTTAATTTAAATTGGGACTCGTGCTTATCCCTCACAATTTTCAGTTTAAGGCTTCAAGGCAGTACTTTTTTTTTTACAATAGGATGAGGACACATTTATTAAATTCGTTGTTTGAAAAACTTGCATGAAAAGCGGTTGTGTGGTCGAGGATTTCACAAAATACGATACATGTTCATAAATAAATAAACTAACAGCCTAAATATACATTTATATCCGAAAGAGGGTATTTCAATGAAATTAGCACACTCAAAACAGTTCATTTGGCCATGCAAACGCAACAGGCAGCGTCCTGACCTTGTATACTGTGTTCTAACCTTGAAATCACAACCGCCTGCCTACCAGCACAGCTGGGCAGGCGTTTAGTGGTGGTTCAGATAACTGGGTGGTTTTACTGTGTGTTTGGGTGTGAGTGTGTGTATTAACAGGCGAAAACAAAAAACACCAAGAACGCGCCTAAGATGCGTTTTCATGGCCGCATGCGGGACAATGCGGAAATGCACAACAAACAATGTTATGTTTAGGTATAGGTATAGGCATTGGTCATATAGTAGAGTAGGTATTTGCCTCTTCCTCAGCCTTTACGGCATTGGGTTTTAGAGTGTGCTTCGGAGTGACAAACTCGAAAAGTGTACATCGCGTGTAGATGGTGTAGGCGCGGTCGCATAAGAACAAAAAAAAAATGGTGTGGTGTACTGTGTTGTATGTGTATTGATGGCGGGCACATTAGAAGGTATAACCGCCCTCCGGCGCCTTGGGCTGCGTGGCATTAAACTCCAGTGCACCATTTACCTCCTGCGGCGCTAGCTCCTGCTCGGCCTCATCGTCACCAGTGTTGAAATAAGTATCTATTATGGCATAGGCCTTCTTATAGACTTCTTCGTTTTCGTGCTGCTGCAAAGCTTCCAGCTTGTCGAGGCCACCTAGTTCCTCGACCATCAGGCATAGATTCTCCGTGCCACCCAGCTTCTCGGCGAGAGCAAACAGATTCGAAAGACCAGTTTGCACCACTTTGATGGTACGCGGATCCTTAGCATCTAGCAAATCTATGAATGGCTTCAATATCTTGTACTTCTCAATGAGATCTACAATTTGTTCGGGAGTACCCGACGTAGTTGTATTGGTAACCGCCCAGGCGGCCTCTTTTTGTGCCTTGAAGTCGCCCTTTTCCAATACATGACGTATCTGCTGGAAGATACCCGCGTCGATGACTGCCTGAATCTGTTTCTGATTACCGGCCGTAATGTTGCTCACTGTCCAGGCAGCCTCCTTAACTATATTGCCTTTCGAGTGTTGCAACAACAAGCCAAGCTTGGGCAAGCCACCAGCAGCTATGACCACATCGGTCTGCAAAGAGAATGATGGATGAGTAAAGCACATCGATTACTAACAGCCGTTTGTTAAGTTGACTGACCTGTTGATCCGTGCCAGTGACTATGTTACCGACACTGCGCAGTGCCGGCACAATTATGCTGGGCTCGTCGGTTTGCAGAAGATTTACAAGGCGTGGCACTGCATCCGTATCGACCACCGCTTGTATCTTGTTGTTGTCATCATCTGTCACATACGACAGCGCCCAGCACGCATCGGCCAACACCTGTATGTCCTGGCTGACCAGCAACTGCGATAGCACTGGCAGCAGACGCTTTACTTGCTCAAAGGGCGGCGATGGATTCTTGTTGCGGCACAAATTCGACATCAGCCAGACAATGTTGCGGAGAAAGGACAGAGGCGTCTCATTATTGATTAAACGCAGAATGCCATCGATGACATTGTGCTGAATTACGATATCACGTGCCGCAGCGCCGTCGCCCGCAATATTGCCCAACGCCCAAACGGCCTGTTCGGCAAGATTAAGCGACTTCGACTGGAGGAGCTCAATGAAATGGGGCACAGCATTCTGCTCAATGACGCAACGCGTCTGCTCCGATGTACCCGATGCAATGTTGGTCAAGGCCCAGGCAGCCTCAAACTGCAGAATGGTGCTGACCAAAGCAAAGAGATCGAATAAGGTCCAAGATCTAACCGAAGGAGTATTGTTCGCTCAATGACTTACTTGGAGCTTTGAAGGAAGCGTATACAGATGGGAACAATGCCATGTCCGATCATAAGATCAATGGGCGGATTGCGCTCGCGGCTAAGCATCTTGCGCGCCTGCTGCATACCCACGAATTGGCGTTCCGAATCCTCGCTGTTCATAGCCGCCACAATCTCATCAACCGATAGCAGCACCGGTGACTGTCCATTTAACTCCTTCAGAGGCGAGGTCAGATCTTCATCGTTGATGTTACGGCGCTTAAACATCTGATCCTCCTTCTTAGACTTGCGCAGCTCGATGGTCACCTCATGGCGACGCATGCGCGAGTCCTATACGTCGAAAGTGAGGTTAAATGCGAATGCAGTTTTTAAAGATCGCGCCACTTACCTGCGTATTGAGAGTGTTGGCCTTGTAGTGGCCCTGGCGTGTGCTTGCATCCGATTTATTCATGTTGAAATAATTTTAAGGTATTTGTTTTTCTTTTTGGAATAATTTAAAAATTTGTTTCTGCTACGATAACAAGTGTACAGCTGAAAAGAGAAATGTGCGCTATGAGCCTGCTCAAAAATGTGGAAGATGTCTGAGGTTGAATTCAAGGGCTGTTTCGATTGCCTCACACATACAAACGCACGCGCGCGCTCAAAAGTGCGTTTGTGTGCGTACTTTTTGCATTTCTTTTGTGCCTGCCAATTTTTTTTCGTCTACCTTTTTCGCGCGCAGCAGAACCGGCGGCTTCACAAGGCCAAGCCAGCAGCAACAACAACAAAGCAACAGCTGCGGCTGCGTTTAACTGTGCTTGAGAAGACCGCGACGGAGGAGACTGAACGAGAACCAAACCGCCATTTGCGTGAATTGTGCTGTTGCAAATTTTGCATTTTCTTTGCAGCACACACTTACCTTTTATTTTAGCCGTATATTAAAATATGGTTCACTGAATGGGCGTGCTAACTCTTTCTAAATAATTTCACATAAAATTTCCAAACTTGTACCTTAACTTCAAATTTTGAGTAGAACACCAAATTTGTGAACGTGTTAACGCGCTTAAAATCTGAATAAAACTGTGAGATGTTATAACTGTAATACAGAATATCGCAGGGAATATGACTTCAATGCCTGCTTTGTGCTCCAAAAGTTCCGTTTAATTTGAACGAGATGCTTGTTCTGTCTAGGGATGCTTCAACTATATCGATATATTGATATTTTGTAACACAGTGTGCGATATTTCTACGACGATCTCGATTTTTGCTTCAATTTATACTAAAAAATATAGTTATATTGAAATATTGTGATTAATACACCGAAATAATACTTATTTCTAGAAATCAGATCCAGTGCACGGAATAATTCATAATGCGAAAAGTTGCTAGTGTTATGAAAAAATCCCAAATTGTACTCTTTCAAATAATCAGCTAGCAGCGCCGTCAGATCATTCGACAGATGGCGCTATTTACCATATTTGTTTTTTGTAAATTATGCTATGTGTTATTCCTATTATTATTAGTATTAGTACACAATTGACCGGTTATATTTTATGTAAACAAACTAAGTTTATATTCATCTCATATTCTTGAAAGTTTGCCTGCTGTCGCTCACAAATTGAATGCGAACGCACAGCTGAAATAGAATCCACACGCTTGCAGCTCGGACATTTACCATCCACACGAGCGGAATCTGCTAATTCAGCAATGCAATGCCTGTATTCGGTTCAGAATGCGAAAGAGAGTCTATGGGTTTTATACAAAGTCCGTCTGCCTGGTTGGATGTACCTGACTGCAACGATGTTAAGTTATTCAATTTCCTATTTCCAAGTTATTTGTTTACAACGGGAATGTAATACTTTCTGAAGATTAGGAAGAGAGAGCTTAAAGAAATCTTAACTACAGTGTCTGCCTAATTAACGGATTTGTGCTGATCAAATTGAAAGTGCCCGACTGAAAGATACCTTGTTTTTCGATTTCAGGTAAACGAGCACTTTTTTTCCAAAATTTAGTGCTACTAGCTTCGTCTTCGAGTTCGAATACCGACGGGCACATGGATCGAATTAGCTATAGATTTTGATTAAGAATAAGATCAAGTTACCATAATTAACAAACTCTTTTGTTTTCCGTTGCGTACAGAGCATATAAAACGTAGATTTATTATAATTAAACAGATTTGCCATGCAGAAACTTTTTTCAATAAATAAGCTACCATGTCATGAATATTTCCATATTTAATGGTAGCTTTAAATTGTCATAGGGCTTATTACTTACATTTTCTGGTATGAAAGATGTTTGTACATAAGACTTCACTTGCAATGGATAGTTGACACTTATTTAATTTTCTTCTTTTCGAGACTCGCTATAGTTAATAACTTTAAAATCAACATAAAATAGTAAATGGTTTTTTTTTTTTGAGGAAAATATACTGGGATGATATTGAAGTCGTTGACATGACATGCTATATGATTGGGAGAAACATTTCCGGCAGAGAGAATACAGGATCGAATTGAAGTAAACAATTTGGGCTAGGTATGAATACACGGTTTTAATCTCAACAAAATATATGGATCACAATCTAAGCGGACTTTTTGTCTTGCTCCTTGTTCTCTTCGTTAACGGCAGCTGGGGCAGCGGTGGTGCTGCTGGACTCCTGGGCGGAGCGCGCCTCCACCACATCGGAATCCGAATCATCGGATGTGGCGGCTGGGGCTGGTGAAGCGGTTGGGTAGGGTGGGAACTGTTGATCCTGTGGATAAACCTGCTGCTGCTGTTGGGCATCTGAGTAGTCAACGGGTGCTGGCTCCTGATCGGGCTGGCGTGGTGCTTCCACAACTTCGCTTTCCTGCTCGGCACCACCCTGCTGTTGTGGTTGGAACAGCTGCTGTTGTGGCTGGAACAGCTGCTGCTGTGGCTGGAACAGCTGCTGCTGTGGCTGGAACAGCTGCTGTTGGGCTTGTGGATAGTATATGGGTGCGGGCAGAGTAGCAACAGCAGCCGAGGACACAACGGGAACTGGGGCAACAGGTGTCACAACGGCAGTACGGGCAGCCACCACAGGCTCACGCTGCACCACCGCATTGAAGCCATTGATGTCATCGGCCGTGTAGGTTACCGTACGCTTGTAGCCATCGGCATCAAGGACGCTGTAGGAGCCAACCACATTGCCGCCGTCTCTGCTCTCCGTTTGGCTTTTAATGTCGCCGGTGATGGAATCATGCACACCATACGAAAAATCGTAGCGGGGAGCAGACTCCAGTTCCACTTGCTTGACAACCGGAGCGAGAGGTGCAGCAACAGGAACAGTTTTCACAACGGGTGCAACAGCAGCCACAGCCGCAGGAGCCGCAGCATAGGCTCTCACAACGGGAGCAACGGCCTTCACAGCATAGGACTTGGTGTAAGCCGGCGCAACGGGCAGCACAGTCTTGGCCAGCACAGGAGCCGTCGCCTGCTGGTAGAAAGCAGCAGGCGCAGCATGGTAAAAGGTAGGTGCTGCCTGGTAGGTGGCATACGCAGGTTGGAAGCCCGAGTAGGTGGCTGCAAAGCCGCCCAAGCAGCAGCCGGTCAGAGCCAAAAGCGACAGAGCAGTCAAAAGCTGATGAAGACAAGAAAAAGACAAAGGCTACAATTATAAAGATTAAAAGTAGCAGATAAAAGTAAAATCGAATCTTGGGCTCAGTTTATGCAAAAGAAAACGCGGCTTTGCATTGTTAAATTCGCTTGAATGAATTTAAGATCGCAGAAATGGAGCCCAAAAATAATGTTATCCAAGCTTAAAGTGCGTTCCTCTCCGAAATGCGAATGGTAATTGGAATGCTTTGGCTCTTGTCTGGCTAACAATCTGTTCCTAGTAGATCTAGGCACTTACTTTGCTTGCCATGTTCTTGTTAAGTTTTCGTTGCTATTCAATTTAAAAGACAGACACACACGTGTATTAAATGAATAAAAAACACACACGCGGACGCAGAGAGTGGGCGAGGTTTAGATAGGTAACCGTCGGGTTTCGTCCTTGGCCGTCGACGTCGACACTTGACGTTGTGAGCGACGCTTGGTTAATGATGTGGTCCGGGCTGCGTGCATGGGACTTTATATGGAGCAAGCGGATGCCTAGAATTAGCATTGCCATGCCCACAGAGACACAGGCACTGTCCAGCTGCACCCACACGCTGACAACGTGCCAAACCGGTAATAAGTACCAAAAGTATCTCATAGATACGCGTTGACAATGGTGACAATTGCGAAGCAAACTGGTTTCGTTTTGGGCTTTAGCTTTGTTTTCGGCTTTTACAAAGTTCGCTTTAACTATGCTTTGGTTTTCAAGTTCAACGCTATCGGCGCTTCCTTGTAGGCCTATTGACAATTATTTAATTAAGCCGATAATGGTCAACAATGCAAACGGCGCTGCCCGCATCCCCCAAGCATCCCCCAATCAGCGCTTGGCTTACATCACATTTTCAGTTTTTGCACTTGAAATTCAAAATTTACCGCGCTCAACTTGTCAACCATTGTCTACCGTTGGGGGAACTGTGCACCCGCTCAGCCTCTACCTTTGGCTCTGGCTCAAGTCTGGCTTGCCGTTAGGTGATTTGTCCGTCTGTCAACACCTTTAGCTCTTTTTTATTTTTACCTCGCTATTCGTTTGTATGTCAGCGACATTTGCTTCATTTGCAGCATGAGTTTCAGTTTCAGTTTCAGTTTCAGTTTCAGTTTGGGCTGTTATTTTTTTTAGGGAATGTATATGCTCCATTTTCGTGCTGTGTCCATGTGCCACATGCCAGCATTTTGTTTACTTACTTGTTAATTGTTGTATTGTCCGTGTCTTCACTTTGGATATGCCAACCGTAACTCAACCGATACCATAAATATCTTTAAGTCAGTTCAAGTTTAATCCATTCACAACCAGCAGTAGCTTTGCATGCTATGTAAGAAAAAAATGTATCTCTGAAATACAAATTCATCTTTCATTTTCAAAACACACTAATTTATTTTAAAAGTATCTATGAGGTACACAAGTATTTCTTATGTAAATATACTTGAGATACATACAAGTGACAAAAGTATCTGAAATAAAAAACACTATATATTTGAGATACCTAAGTATCTTTGAAATACAAATTTATCTTTCATACAGAAAACACGTCCATATTTCTTTACGCGTCTTTTACCAAATCTTCAATACAGTTCTTTTACCTTTTATGTAGAGAATATTTAAATAAACATCTGAGAAAAATAAGTTCTGAGCTTTGACATACTTATTGGTGTTCAGCATGAAACAATTCCATCAATGGGCAGCGGCTGTTGCCTTCGGGTAGAATTAATATGTAATCAACCTAATTGGCTGCAATTTTAATTAAAAATCGGATACATGAATCACAAAAGATTGAAGGCTGACCACAAAAGGTTTTTCTAGCATAAGGGCCCATACAACAAAAAAGCAAAGAAAACTGTCAACTCATTTATTGGCTTAAATCTAATTAAACGGCAAACAAGTTCAAGGAATCATATTCTATAGGCTTGTTTTTTTTTCAATAGACACCTAAAGGAGAGCTTTGTTTTCATTCAGTTAAAAATTAAAAGTGCGTAAAGCGTTTATAAGTGGATTTCGTGTCCAACTCCGGAGGTTGATGCATTCTATTTTGCTCGAGCATTAAATGCCAATTACTGCGTTCAGGCACGTAGCCCCGGACGCATAAAGATGCGTAGGCAGGCGGATTCAATTGCTTGCAAATATATGTGCTAGTAAACGGTATAAGATGGATGGCATGTAGTATAGTACTCGCAAAAAGCGAAATGTTGAAGGCTTGAACTTGAACTCGAGTTAAAAAGACTGCATGCAGTGTGACAAAAATCATTTAAAACACATTACGCATAAATCCAAATCAATCTGTTTTTTTTTTTTTGGCCCGAGGTACAAAAACAAGCCAAGAAGCTAGGAAAATATTAATTAAAGAGCAAAGTATAAACTAGCAGGAATCCTCTAGATAACAAGGGGTTGAAATATCTTTGATATGCAGCTTCTTTTCTAAATTTTAAATTTATTTTTTAATTATTAGTATTATTCTTTAATTTTATTTTATGCTACATTATATCAAAAGGGACAAGCAGCCAGAATAGCTGAAGACTTTTATTGTCGAAAAAAACAAAACAAATCTAAAAGAGCATAGACCGACTTTGATGTAATGCCATGTGGACATGACAAGGAACCATTTTATTGGGTTCTCAGTTTTTAGCACGAAAAAAAAGAACCCGATTTTGTTATTTTTACCATCGTTTTTACCTAGACTTGAGCTAGAGTTCAGGCCTGTTGTAAAAAGAAGTATGTTAACCATGGATACGATGAGCAGTTGGGACCGGGTGACTGCACTTCAACTCGTTTTAAGTCATTATGATTAAATTATTCAGTGGAAAATAAATAAAATAATTCGGTATGGTTTTATTTTGTCCTGCTTAAAGGAAGTTACCGTTAATGATTCCTCCAGGCAGTTCCATTTAATGGCAACGGCGTGAAGCGGAAATCGCGGTAACGGAAATGCAACGAATCAAATAGGTATGTGTTTGAGTGCAAATCGAGTATATTCACGGGTACCGTAGACACTTTGACATTTGACAAATACTTAACACTATTTGCCTGGCTTAATAAACTCGTTTTCGTTGACTTTGCCGCCACAAACGAAGGGGCTGGCCGGGCAGAACAGGGTATCGCTCATAGATGCTGGAATGCAATGAACAAAAAAAAAAAAAAAAAAACCCAACCAAGGACTGCGAATGGGGACTGGAGACTGGGGGCTGCCAATGTGCTGTGTGTCGGGCTGTAAAATAGCAGAGATACGAGTACGGCGGCAATGATTGATTGCACGTTAAAGCTCGAGAGCATCACATCATTTCCTTTTTACACTTGACAGGAAATGCATTTTTAGCTAGCGAAATGAGCAACGTGTGTATCCGAGGAAGAGTGAGACAGCGGAAGAGAATGAGGGAGACAGAGAGAAGCAGATGGCGAGAGATCAACGAGATATACAAAATCACAGCAAGTGGCGTGAATAGGTAAAAAGTGGGCGACAGTTGCTGCAAATGCATTCAAAGGCAGTTCCACAGACAATTTACACAAAAATCAATGTGTGAGGGACACGTCATTGAGCAAGGCATCCAAATGGAAATGCTGCCAAGGTCCTATGCTGCAACTGCGCCATGCCTTTAAGTTGAAAGCCATCCATGTCAACAAACAGGATTTGTGCCAAACTCCATTGGCTCTGCCAAGGAATTTAAGCCAATTAAGTGTCATGCGTTAATACCTGCTCAGATATCGATCAAAATATCCCATTGACAAGCAAATCCAAGCTCATAAACACCTTTCCGCATTCTGTGAATGAGGCATTCATCGTGAAACTATAGAGCGCCATAATTGCCAGTCAGCTGGCAAAGACAAACGATCCGAGACGAATCGCATGTATGGCAAACATTTTGTCTGTTGAATAGGTCCACAGACAATGGAGGGGGGGGGGGGGGGGGGGGGGGCTGCCCCCGCTCTCTGCTGTCCCACACGTTCGCTCAACTATACAGATTTGTTTGTCGCCAATCTGCCGTTCGAAATAATCCATCAAAATTGGCGTTGAAACGGAAATCCAAATGTGCGCAGTGAATTAACTGCGTGTAGGCGGAATGGGCAAGACGAAGAAAAACCACAGGAGAAAATGAAAAACGAATAGTGAAAAGCTAACAACAAACACATCGGCAGAATTGAGAGGTCTGGCTTAGCATTACCAGAAATCAAATGTGTAAATAGTTAAAAAAAAAGGTACAGAAAAAGTTATTAACAAGGTGAAATATTGCGAATACAAGATCATATGGGCGAATATCTAGTCTTGTTTGATGCAATAATATTTTTCCATATGCCGACCATCCAGACCAAATTGGAGTTTCCCTGCTTGCAGCGCAGTTGTATTCTATAATATGACCCTACTATGCGATTCTCATCTCCAAATAAGACTTACAACCATATTGCTCTCTCCGCCTCTGGTTCTGTCTTTCCCTAAGTAGCATATGTAGAATTTTTGAATATTTATTTTATTTTTTTTTTCCTAGTTTATATATCGGGTTTTCATATGAAAACTTAAACCTATTATTGTTAAATAAACATTTTAACGCAATCATAGAAAATAATGATTTTAAATTTCAATGGAAAAATAAGAAGCAAATTTTGCTGAACTTTGCTGAACTCCGCCCACGAATTTGTATCGATCTTAAGACCAGCGACAATTTTTCGTAGACACAAACAATATAATTAATCAATTTTTGAATAACGATGCGATTAGAATCAATTGGCGTCAACGGAGTGGGGGCAAAGAATTAACTTCGAGTGCGCCACACGAATTTGGCAGATTTATTTCCATTGATATATAAATGGTAGGTATTTTTTTCTGCCTGCCATCGACGGCTGAGCTTTTAAGATTATGCAATAGAAAAGAGACCAACGAATCGAATGCGATGCCGTGTGCGACCATCGATGACTGCTGGTCAGAGGCGGAGGCGAAGTCGGAGCCGGAGCCGGCGCCGGAGCCGGAGGGTGGCAGGCTATGGCTCTGACGCCCACACGCAACGAGGGCTAATTATAGGCTTGCTAAGCGGATTTCGTATTCGTGTCTATTTGTTTTCTTTTCCATAAAGTGATTCTTGTTTGTACTGAGAGTAGAGTTGAGATTGCTGTCAAATCGTAGGCAAGTAACATACTCTGGTTGACATGTGTAGATTGATCTAACCAGTTTCACGCGGCTTTGCACGGGCCAAGTTTATTTATCCAATAGTATACTTCGCTTTTCCACCTATTTTCCGCTAGTGGATATCCTTAAATGAGTAAGGTGAAAACAAACTTTTTAACGATTTGAAAATAAGCTTGAAGCAAATCGGCAAAGCTTGAACTAGCGTTCATACAACATTGATCCCCCGTTGTCCATTCAAAATGGGAGGATAAGCAAAACCGTTTTCACATTTCCGGGTGGAACTTAATAATTCACATTTTGGCGTGCATCTTGAAGAAGTT